TTAATGGCCCTGTCATGTTCTGGTGTACATCCCTAAACAGTTGTGAAGCCCTGTCATGTTCTGGCTCCATTCTCCTTTACAGTTGTGTAGCCCTGTCGTGTTCTGGTGCCCATCCCTTTACAATTGTGTAGCCCTGTCGTGTTCTGGTGCCCATACCTTTGCAGTTGTGTAGCCCTGTCGTGTTCTGGTGCCCATCCCTTTACAATTATGTATCCCTGTCATGTTCCGGTGCCCATCACTTTGCAGTTGTGTAGCCCTGTCATGTTCTGTTGTCCATCCCTTTACAGTCGTGAGGCCCGGTAATGTTGTGTTACCCATCCATTCACAGTTACATTCCCCTGTCATGTTCTCGAGCCCATCCCTTTACAGTTGTGTAGTCCTGTCATGTCCTAGTGTCCATCCCTTCACAGTTACATGGCCCTGTCATGTTCTGGTTTACATCCCTTTACAGTTGTGTAGCCCTGTCATGTTATGGTGCCCATCCCTTAACAGTTGTGTAGACCTGTCGTGTTCTGGTGCACAGCCCTTACAGTTACACACACCTGTCATGTTTTGGTGTCCATCCCTTTACAGTTACACACAGCTGTCACGTTCTGGTGCCCATCCCTTCCCAGTTGTGTAGCCCTGTTATGTTCTGGTGCCCATCCCTTCACTGTTAAATGGCGCTGTCATTTTCTGATGCCCGTCCCTTCACAGTTGTGTGGCCCTGTCAAGTTCTGGTTCCCATACCTTTAAAGTTGTGTAGCCCTGTCATGTTTTGGTTCCCATACCTTTGCAGTTGTGTAACCCTGTCATGTTCTGGTGCACAGCCCTTCACAGTTACATGTCCCTGTCAAGTTCTGGTGCCCATCCCTTCACAGTTACATGGCCCTGTCGTGTTCTGGTGCCAGTCCCTCTACAGTTGTGCAGCCACGTCGTGTTCTGGTGTCCATCCTATCACACTTGTGTAGGCCTGTCGTGTTCTGATGCCCGTCCCTTCACAGTTGTGTGGCCCTGTCGTGTTCTGGTGCCCATCCCTTTACAGTTGTGTATCCCTGTCGAGTTCTGGTGCCCATCCCTTTACAGTTGTGTATCCCTGTCGAGTTCTGGTGCCCATCCCTTTACAGTTGTGTATCCCTTTCATGTTCTGGTGCCCATCCCTTCACAGCTACATGGCCCTGTCATGCTCTGGTGCCCATCCCTTTACAGTTGTGTAGCCCTGTCGAGTTCTGGTGCCCATCCCTTTACAGTTGTGTAGCCCTGTCATGTTTTGTTGCCCGTCACTTTCCAGTTGTGTAGCCCTGTCGTGTTCTTTTGCCCATCCCTTTGCAGTTGTGTACCCCTGCCATGTTCCAGTGCTCATCCCTTTGCATTTGTGACGTAGCCCTGTCGTGTTCTGGTGTCCATCCCTTTCCAGTTGTGTAGCCCTATCATGTTCTGGTGTCGATCCCTTCAAAGTTGTGTAGCCCTGTCATGTTCTGGTGTCCATCACGTTACAGTTGTGTAGCCCTGTCGTGTTCTGGTGCCCCGCCCTTCAGAGTGACATGAGCCCTGTCATGTTCTGGTGCACAGCCCTTTACAGTTTAATGGCCCTGTCATGTTCTGGTGTACATCCCTTTACAGTTGTGTAGCCCTGTCGTGTTCTGGTGCCCATCCCTTTACAATTATGTAGCCCTGTCGTGTTCTGGTGCCCATCCCTTTACAATTATGTATCCCTGTCATGTTCCGGTGCCCATCACTTTGCAGTTGTGTAGCCCTGTCATGTTCTGGTGTCCATCCCTTTACAGTCGTGAGGTCCGGTAATGTTGTGTTATCCATCCATTCACAGTTACATTCCCCTGTCATGTTCTCGAGCCCATCCCTTTACAGTTGTGTAGTCCTGTCATGTCCTAGTGCCCATCCCTTCACAGCTACATGGCCCTGTCATGTTCTGGTTTACATCCCTTTACAGTTGTGTAGCCCTGTCATGTTATGGTGCCCATCCCTTAACAGTTGTGTAGACCTGTCGTGTTCTTGTGCCCGTCCCTTTGCAGTTGTGTAGCCGTGTCATGTTCTGGTGCCCATCCCTTTACAGTTGTGTAGCCCTGTCGTGTTCTGGTGCCCTTCCCTTAACAGTTGTGTAGACCTGTCCTGTTCTGGTGCCCATCCCTTTGCAGTTGTGTATTCCCGTCATGTTCTGGTGCCCTTCCCTTAACAGTTGTGTAGACCTGTCGTGCTCTGGTGCCCGTCCCTTTGCGGTTGTGTAGCCCTGTCGTGTTCTGGTGCCCGTCCCTTTGCAGTTGTGTAGCCCTGTCATGTTCTGGTGCCCATCCCTTTACAGTTGTGTAGCCCTGTCGTGTTCTGGTGCCCTTCCCTTTACAGTTGTGTAGACCTGTCATGTTCTGGTGCTCGTCCCTTTGCAGTTGTGTATCCCTTTCATGTTCTGGTGCCCATCCCTTTACAACTGTGTAGCCCTGTCGAGTTCTGGTGCCCATCCCTTTGCAGATGTGTAGCCCTATCGTGTTCTGGTGTCGATCCCTTCACAGTTGTGTAGCCCTGTCATGTTCTGGTGCCAATCCCTTTACAGTTGTGTAGCCCTGTCGTGTTCTGGTGCCCCGCCCTTCAGAGTGACATGAGCCCTGTCATGTCCTAGTGTCCATCCCTTCACAGTTACATGGCCCTGTCATGTTATGGTGCCCATCCCTTAACAGTTGTGTAGACCTGTCGAGTTCTGGTGCCCATACCTTTACAGTTGTGTAGCCCTGTCCTGTTCTGGTGCCCCGCCCTTCAGAGTTGTGTAGCCCTGTCGAGTTCTGGTGCCAATACCTTTACAGTTGTGTAGCCCTGTCCTGTTCTGGTGCCCCGCCCTTCAGAGTTGTGTACCCCTGTCATGTTCTGGTGTACAGCCCTTTACAGTTTAATGGCCCTGTCATGTTCTGGTGTACATCCCTAAACAGTTGTGAAGCCCTGTCATGTTCTGGCTCCATTCTCCTTTACAGCTGTGTAGCCCTGTCGAGTTCTGGTGCCCATCCCTTTACAGTTGTGTAGTTTTGTCGTGTTCTGGTGCCCGTCCCTTTACAGTTGTGTAGCCCTGTCATGTTCTGGTGCCCATCCCTTTACAGTTGTGTAGCCCTGTCGTGTTCTGGTGCCCTTCCCTTAACAGTTGTGTAGACCTGTCGTGTTCTGGTGCCCATCCCTTTGCAGTTGTGTATTCCCGTCATGTTCTGGTGCCCTTCCCTTAACAGTTGTGTAAACCTGTCATGCTCTGGTGCCCGTCCCTTTGCAGTTGTGTAGACCTGTCGTGTTCTGGTGCCCGTCCCTTTGCAGTTGTGTAGCCCTGTCATGTTCTGGTACCCATCCCTTTACAGTTGTGTAGCCCTGTCATGTTCTGGTGCCCATCCCTTTACAGTTGTGTAGCCCTGTCGTGTTCTGGTGCCCTTCCCTTAACAGTTGTGTAGACCTGTCGTGTTCTGGTGCCCATCCCTTTGCAGTTGTGTATTCCCGTCATGTTCTGGTGCCCTTCCCTTAACAGTTATGTAGACCTGTCGTGCTCTGGTGCCCGTCCCTTTGCAGTTGTGTAGACCTGTCGTGTTCTGGTGCCCGTCCCTTTGCAGTTGTGTAGCCCTGTCATGTTCTGGTGACCATCCCTTTACAGTTGTGTAGCCCTGTCGTGTTCTGGTGCCCTTCCCTTTACAGTTGTGTAGACCCGTCATGTTCTGGTGCTCGTCCCTTTGCAGTTGTGTATCCCTTTCATGTTCTGGTGCCCATCCCTTTACAGCTGTGTAGCCCTGTCGAGTTCTGGTGCCCATCCCTTTGCAGATGTGTAGCCCTATCGTGTTCTGGTGTCGATCCCTTCACAGTTGTGTAGCCCTGTCATGTTCTGGTGCCCATCCCTTTGCAGATGTGTAGCCCTGTCGTGTTCTGGTGCCCATCCCTTTACAGTTGTGTAGCCCTGTCATGTTCTGGTGCCCATCAGTTACCGACACCTGTTATGTTCTCATGTCCATCCCGATACAGTTACATACAGCTGTCACGTTCTGGTGCCCATCCCTTTACTGTTGCGCACACCTGTTATGTTCTCGTGTCCATCCCGTTACAGTTACACACAGCTGTCACGTTCTGGTGCCCATCCCTATACTGCTGACATGTTCTGGTGCACATGCACCAACACTCACTCACTCACACACACACACACACACACGATATGCATACATAAACAGTGTCACTGTATTGTGAAAAGTTGTTATCAGGCAACTTCTATCATTAAATTCTGCTCTGTGAAATCTTCACTGAAGGAATCTGCACGATGCAAAGGCAGGAGATGTCTGATATCGCTCCACATAACTTAACTTTTGGCAACTTAATATGCAATTTTCGAATCCAAGTTATTCATTGATCTACATATGACATAGATGATTTCAGGTGGGTAAATTTGTAGATTGGAAAGAGCTATTTGACATTATTGAAGGTATACATGAAATTTGTTATAAGTTATTCTTTGCTAAATGAACTTGTTTGATTTTGACGCTCCGAGCAAAAATTGTGACCGGTATGAATAAGTAAAGATATGAGTTGGGCCAATTACTTAACTTCACGGGACACACACTTTGAATTGTGTTCACCACACTTTTTATAACAATATGATAACCAAACGTATATGTGATCGGGTTTATTCCTCCGTCAGCACACAAAGCGTTAAATGGTTTCAAGTTTCAAGAATTTAAAGATGTTAAGATAAAAAATTGATGCCAATAGGTCGTCGTTCTGTGGAATGCTTGAAGTGTCTCACATCGGCCATTGTGCTGAAGCGTTGATACAATAACGGAGTCAGATGTGTCATTGATTATGTACATATGTTATGACAACCGTGATCAGCGAAGCAGTATTATAGAATATTTATAACTCGCCCGTGTATTACTTAAAGAAGCAATGTGTCCAATAGTGTATCTCAAAATATATAATGTCCACATAAGGATGACGTATATGTTCATCACAACCAACACATGTACTGGGTCAACCTTCACTAAGGTTAACCTTAACTTCCATTCTTTAACATTGCACTAAGGTTACCTTAGTGACTTGTGATCACATTAGTGCTTTGTGAAAGGAGGCCCAGGTGCTTTACATGAACTTAGGTATAACTCTGGTCTTGCGAAGACTTTCCTCGTGGCTTTTGGAATCCCAAACCGCAGACAAACTGCAACATATTTAAGATATCCGGCACAGTAACAATAAGAGTGGCAATGACGATGAAAACAATTCCAGCTGAACCCATGGTAACAGCACTTGGTCTGTCATCGCGGACACTAATTTTCTTCCGTATTGTGCTTGAGAGATTGTGTGTTGGCACAGTGAGGCGTTTCTTTATTTCTTCTGTTATCATCACTATGTCCATTGTAGCCAGGTTGACTGCACATGTACATATGCAAGCTGTCGAATAGGACTTGGGCAAAGAGGATTTTACAGATATTGATGATGTTGCTGGAGTGACCGACATGGGTATGGATGGGGTACAAGACGTGCATGTCGTCGTCAGGCCTAGTTGGCTAGGTATGGTGCTACTCACAACTGTTGAAACCATCAGAGAGGCTGGGTTAGTGAAGTAGGATGCGGACGTTAGCATCAGCGATGAAGGCAAAGGATTTGAAAGTAATGGGGTAACATCGTCGATGATTGTTTGGGACGTGTACATATTGAAGATAGTAGATGATTCCAAGACGTTTCTAAAGTCAGAAGCAGATGTTAATATCATAGTTCCTGCATCAGGCACTGATGATGAAATGAATGGATGGGTGCTCCCAGAAGAGGTACCACGTGTAATGTACACAGAAGCTGGTGATGGCTTCATGAACGGCACACTTTCTGAGGATACGTGCGACGAAGAACTAAGGTCGAAAAGCGAGGGCGACGAGCCCATGATGTCTGAAAGCAGAGATGACCAAGAGGCCACACTGTCCATAGATGGTGATGCTTCAGAAACAACACGTGATTCAGTCGTGATTGTAGAAGCCACCATGTTGTCCGACGATGACACAGTGTAGGTTGACGAATTCGCTGAAGCTGGTAGAAAGTGAGGGGACGATGAGTACTGAATGCCGGTCACTGACACGATCGATGATACAGCATCGGATGAACCACCTGCAATTGAATGAAATATCATTTATACGTCTGCTATATTCAAAGAATTTCATCGATATAGATGTCACGATGTCCGGATTAAAAATCGTAATATCATTACATCATTAAAATACAAAAACAAACAGTACCTGGTAGAAACTGTTATGTGCATAATGCGATAGTCTTCTTTAATTTAGAAAGGTTTATCAGGATATATGTTCGAGCCAAGTTGTATTTTTCAGTTAAGTTCAGTTTAGTTCAGTTCAGCGGCTGGTACAAAAGTTTATGTGTAAAGACCGAGAAGAAAACATTAGTTTATACACTTTAACGTCATAGTGGATACAAGAGTTTCATAGTAGTCAGGTTCAGGTGATAATGTTTTACGTATGTTTGGTCAGATGTAACAGTTCTTTTGGATATGAAAAAAGTCGTTGTTTGAGAAGAGCTTCACATCTGAAACGATAGCTCAGTAAATTGCTTACCCGACTCACAGTTGACGCCCGTGTGTTCTGCTGGACACTCACAAGTGTAGGCATACACACCATCTTTACACGAGCCTCCGTTCACACAAGGAGTACTTTCACACTCGTCAATATCTGAATGTTCAAGAAAGACGTTCCATGAGGCAAGGTGTCGGTTGTACATGCACCGTGGTTTCATGAAGTATTCAAATTTCTTGTCAGAAATATAGAGCTTTAGTCTAAGAAAATAGGCTTTAAATAAGACTGAAGCAAACCATGGTTTTCCAATTTCAGATCGTTTATTTTGTGTGTAAGCAGCAGAAGGAGTGTGTGACGTCCACACCGCTTGAACAGCATTGACTGTTATATCAGAGCGTGGCCCCTTAAGACAGTTTTCCGAGAAATTATTGAGAAAAACGTTGTTTCCTAACACTAAAATAGAATTTTGAAAAATGTGTTACATTATGAAGGCTACTTAATATGGGAGGTAACTCTTGTGAGGCTTAAGAATAAACCTCACTACATCAAGTTATTTATTTCCCCTGGTGTTGCAGACGACTTCCTTTGTTGACAGATTTGGCAGAAGAGGACAGCAGAAGAGGAAAGGGTTTTGAAAGGGGTGTCACTAATGCAAAAGAGTTAGCCGGTAGACATGACATTCCTCTGTCTACAGTATACAGAACTTTGAAGAATATTCAGTCATGGGTTGGGACTTAGCATAAGACCAAGGAAGTTCAGTACTACGGATCGCCAGCGACTAGGTCAGATTGTGAGTAGGGGAAAACTGAAAAGGGTTGAGAATTTATGAAATAAGATGATTAATAGAAGAAGTCCCCAGGTATGTAATGAAACCCTTGGACAGGAATTACAAACTGGGTGAAAATGCGCGGAATGGCTTTTTCCGAACCGTGTGAAAATTTGGACAAAAGATACAATGAAACCTATCAACCAACAAAACATAGCCCGAAATTTCAAATGTGAGGTGGGACATCATCACGTGAGGGACGCCGTTGTGTATTTTCACTGGAACTTTGACTAAGGAATGACAAGTTGACATCTTTAATGATCACCCCCTTCCAACGGCCCGAACACTGTAAGAAGATAATTGGATTTTCCAGCATGATAACGACCCAAAACACACTGCGGGCTGCACAAAACAGTGGTTGTCGGACGAAAATATTCAAGTTTTAGACTGGCCCAGCTACAGTCCATATCTTAAACCTACTGAGAATGTGTGGGGACTAATGAAGGACAGAATAAACCAAAAATGACTTAGAAATATTGAGGATTGAGCAGAAAGAAGTGGTCGAATACTGGGATTCGCTGTCACACGATTTCCTACAAACTTTGATCGGTAGTGTACCTAGCTCTTTCCGTCATGCATTGCAGGGCAAGCAGTTCTCACAAAGTACTGAAAAGTCACTTAGACTGTAAGAGAATCATATCTCAGCATATTCATTTAAGTAAAACTTCATGTTCCAGATATTTGAAATTAACAACGTTCTCAATAGTTTCTGGGAATACTATACTGGACAAAATAAGGTAGGGATATTGGTATTTTTGTGATTGATATTTTATCAGTGTGTCAATGAATAAATAGATCAGTATTCATAATTTCAAAATTTACACATATCCCTAAATATTTTTGTCCAGTATATAAGTGAAGGATACGCGAACTGATCCATGACAAAGGCGTTAAGCACTTGTGTGTAAGTATGGAGCTGTCAATTGTAGAACCTCTGTCATAGGACTACAGAAAGAAGTGCAAACGATCAACAAGCGTTAATGGTGTGTACCTCTATGGACAAATTGCACAAATATTATTTATTTCAAGAAGACTTGTTCACTATAATATTGTTTTCTTGTTTGTTTGTTGTTTAACGCCGCACTCAGCAATATTCCAGCTATAAGTCAGCAAGTCTTACCACCCTTATGAAAAGAGTTGGCTGCTGAAGACCTATTCTAACACGAATCTTCACGAGTATTTGTTTTCTTGTACATACATGTATTTACTTTACTTGGTTTACACATCAGTACAGAGAGTATAGTGAGTGTGGTTTTACGCCACTTTTAGCAGTATTCCAACAGCAATCACAGCAAGGGAAATCAGAATGCTCCACATACTGAGCCATGTGGGAAATCGAACCCGCAACTTCGGCTTGACAAGCGAACACTGTAACCACTAGGCTACCCCATCACCCGCCAGCATAGGGAGAAGAACTATGCTGACCTTATGTCTTTTATAGTAATAGCAATTAACTACTGAGATAGTTGGCAAAACTATTATACAATAATATACAAGTCACGTTTGTGCCCATGTCTAACTTTAAGCAGTTATCGTCCTATAACCTCTCTCCTGTACGGTTAAAATCAAAACAAAAGTCAACTATCCCAGTCTTGAAACAAGGGCTCCCTGAACTAAGTGAAACTGGTGATGTTGTGTAATGACATTGTCAACGACTGGTTTACTTCATCTAGATACAATGGCAAACTTGTCTCATTGTAGCACTGTGGCATTGGTGAATGTGGCGTGACCAAATCTGTACATACTCACTGGTGTGGAGATAATGTGAATATTCTTACCAAAGACCATTCCAATTGGAAATCCATAGCCGCCAGCTGACATGAATCCGTATGCGACTGCCCCAAAACGTGCACCATTCATTGACACTTGTGTTGATGACTCTTCTGCTATCGTGAAATTAACTCCATAGGCGCAACCTGGTATCGATCGGTAGTCTGTTGGATTGCCACCTGCAGTTGAAACTGTCCTTGCATAATATGTCTTAAAGTCAGTAAGTGAAGAAAAGTTAGCCAAGTAGGAAGACAGAAATCTGTCTGTGGAGGGCACCTGTGCCATGAACCCATCACCGTCTCCTACAACTGTGTCAGCCTGCTTGCTCTTACCATACATGACAACTAGAACAGGATGGTTAGAAGTGAGACACATCTCCCCTTTAGCAGCCGTATCAATATCGAAATAGTCACCAAACTCCAGGGAAAATGACTTCCCAGCACTGGTCGTAACCACTGTTCCATTAGTCGATGCCACAGTCCTGTATATAGCGCCACTGTCTCTTCCTTCCAAGTTGTGGATCACGAAACTAGACCCTAATGCTTCAACAGGAGCTATCATCTCCACGAGCATATCCACACCGTCAACTCCATCAGGAACATTTGCACATGGATGTCCAGAAAGAAATGTTATCGGTTTGGTGCTTTTAACGTACGTTCCTGTTAAGTCATGAGTGCAAACAATTCCAAATGTTTGGTTGGCACTGAGGGTGAATGTTGCAGTGCCCCCATCTGAATGTATTTCCGAGCCGCATGTCCCACCGTTTTGAATCTTGAACTTGATTGTCACGGTTGTTTTATCTTGGGTTGCTGATACAAGCAGTGTTGGCTTGTATTTAGAAGTTTCCGTATAGGATGCAGCTATGTATGCTGTAGACAGGTAGGGAGTTGGGATAGCCAGATATCCCTCGGATGAGTAGGTGTTATAATCCATGACATACACAGACACGTCGGATGTCGAATCAACGGTCACGGTCTTTTGATGAACTTCCTCCACTTCTGAAGAATAACGAATGGAGCTGGGAAGCTCGATGTTTAACGAAAGACCACTCTGAGTGTGTAGTCCATGGCTTTACCTTCTAGGTGGTTTCTGACTGTCACCTCTGCCTTCGTTTCTGTCATAATTAATATGTATGGTTTTCCATTTCCATAGCCATTTTTCAAAAAGGACAGAAGAAACTGTTTTCCTTCATGGTCGCCTACTGGTGTAGATCCTGTTGGCAAGATAATGTTATAGTAACAAGCATAATATTGTTTTGACAAAACACTCAAAAGACATTTAAAATACATGTATAGTATTCGATATGTCTAGTTTCTGTGAATGAAACAATACATGAACAGGAGAGTGTCCTGCAATCTGAGTGGTTAGAAAACGTTTTTAAAGGGAATACATCCTTGAAATATTTCGGTCTCCTCACATCGATTGAATACCTTTCTATATTAAAATTATTTCCATTTCTCACACTTAAATTTGAAACAAACACGCCAGCAGTCTAAGCTAAATGTATATGAGGTTCAATTAAATATTACGTTTGATCAATAATGACAAGAATTGTGAAAGTTATAATTATAAGTACATTGTTCACATTCTGCTAACAAGGCAAGTATATCAGCTTCCATGGAAGCATGACGTCATCAAGTGTATTGTCATCGTTGTCGGTTTCTAATAAATTTTTTGAGCATCAAATTGCTTAAAGAAAGCTCTATAAAGAGAACATATGTTTCACCTCCAATATTTAGGTGTTGTATAAGAGCAAATTGAGCATTCGTGATAGTTTTATTGAAATCGAAAAATTCAACGTCCTTCCGTGTACAAGTTGTATTGGGAGTAATATTCTGATTATGCATGTCAGTCACACGCTGATGGATGTTAAGGTGTATACATCGCCTGAATTCTCACACTAGTGCTACTTTATATGCTTATAAACACATGAATGCTTCCAAATATCACCAACAACAACCCCGACCCCAGACACAAAACAATCAGACATCCCCACTGCTATTACAGGGATACTGCTCTATTGTAAATATCTTGTGAATATCATACGCGTTCGAATTAATATGCCCAAAATAGTATCACAGCCATAAGCACTCGCTGGCATTGAATCTGAAATACCATTGTTTGCTCGGGTATTGTTGCTTTCTGTTTGAGGACATGTCCTACGCTGCCTCATACTATTCTTTTTCTTATTTAGTTATAACTGAATAATTATCTAAACATGTCTTGATCGTGAAGCGTTTTAATTCCACTTAAACCTTGTTTGCAGAACATTTGTTAATCCGTGATAAATGAGACTTACGCCGCCATATGAACTATGTGAATATGTACATCATCTTGGAACAAATATGTAAAGAGTTACTTTACTTACCGTATACAATATAGGAAACTACGACAATGACGACAGACAACTTCAGAACCTGGTGTGACATGGTTATCTCACCAAGAATCTTAGCCCCAACGTGAGCGTGAGTGACAGCTAAGGAGAGTAATGATTTCCAGCAAGTGTTGGTTCCTGCTGCTTATAATCCCCATAATCGATACAACCCTGTCACTTGAGATCCACGCGGAGCCACGCCTCGGCATGGTATTCTCACTTCTCGTGGTATACTCTACGTTTTGGGTTCAGGCGAAACGGGTACATGGCATTATCCCAGTCTAAGCATTTGTAGAAACACTTGCCTTTCATTTCATCAAGGTAAACTTACTGTTGTTTTATGTTTTTGCATAACAGAGTGGAGATAATTCTCGTTCCCGAAGCTACTTGTATTCCAATGATAAAACGTATTTAAAGAAATATACAAATTCGCTTGCGGAATTTTGTTCCACTCGTAAATGAGTGGAACACGAATTTAGGTTACGGTTCTGTACAGAGAATTCTGAAGAAAAAACACACCAAAGAAACTTCAACTCAAGTGTGATTAAAGCAGTACTAGAATTATGAAACCGTGAATCTACAGGTTGTAATCGGAAGGATATCAATATGACCCAGGCGATTATTAATACTGCATAGGGTAATGGCTGATCAAGATAGAACATATCATCCTAATAGCGACAACACAAATTGCTCCCTAATAGTTTGCAAAGGTTAAAGAGGTATAATCGATATTATTACACTTGAAATTATTCATATTTTTCAGGAATATGTTTGATATTGACCAGCGTCTGTTAACCATATTATTGATATAAATATATACATTCCATTAAGGGCCCGTTTGTCCAGATCGTTCTGACCTTGGAAATTCTGCTATTTGCATATGTATGCCTATGTGTTATATACATTTCTGTAGTTCAGAATGAAAAAAACGAAGGTATTATTAGTTTTTTTTCCCATTCCAAGCTACCAGAGGTAAGCATGATCTTTCTAAGATTTGTTTTATTTGTATTTCACCGCTACCATTAGTAAACCTTAGCTGTATTACGGCAAATCTAGGACAGATAACCCAGTGATCGATATTATGAGCATCGAGCCTGACGACAAATCCATTTTATCGTGGGGGCCACAAGCAGCATCACCATGGTATCGTATCCAAGACCATTGTATTCATAAAGATGTAAATTTTCGCTAATGTCCCTTTACTTCCGCGAGAACGGACTGGATTGACAATACAAGAATTGAATATCTAACAATTGCCGTCGTCCTCATTGGGATAGTATTATTGTCACGTCATAGCTGTTATATGTGGTGTGTGCGTGATCGGATTTACTTGATTACTGATTCAGAATGTTCGTAATTTAGCGTAATATCGTACAATTAACAATGTTTCGGAAACTGATCCGATCGATCTGATTAAAGTAATGATGCTCGATACCCAATGGCATTCGTTATACATTGCCTGATAATGTGCTGTTACGATAATGAGACGAAAAGAATAATATGTCATTTGTACAATCAATATTTCATAGTTCTGTTCCACGTCTAACACGCTGTTTTCAATGTAGGAACACGGGACACATTGAATAGCTAGTACGTTCCATGTATGTTTGCATGTATGTATGTGCGTGTGTGTGTGCGCGCGCGTGTGGGTACGTGTGATGATATCGATGTAGTATGACCAAGGAATCATGTAGATGATGCCGTTGCAGTATGGTCCCGGTGTCTTGAGATGACGTTGTTGTGGGCTAGCCAATGAATTGTGGGTGAGACCTGAGGGGAATTAACATCTGTGAGGACTGACCTTGGAAGTTTCAAGGATTGACTTGGTGCGGCATGTATACCTCTCACAAAACACATTCTTCTCGGGCAATGAAAACGTGTGTCGAATACGACAAAGAACTGTCGTTTACTTGTCAATATTTATCAGCCGTTACCAGGGACATAGATCGTTGTTTGATAGATTGCAGAAGTACATAATCACCCGACTAAAAGCTGTCAAATTACTGATTTCATTACCGACAGGCAGTTGATAAACTAGAAACACACTGAACACCACAAGATTACGTCTGGTGTTGTCACGCAAAGGATGACGATAGTGATTTACACGATAAAATCCGTTTCCATTCGACGAACTGACGTTCATAACTTTGAGAAACACACAATGGCGTCCATATGTTTTCTACAAGATGTATTCTTGTACGGCGTTTCTGGGTGAAACGCTGGGAATCCCCCAACTCTACTAAATACCGATCGGAAGCATCGTTTGTGTCATCTTGACACTTCAATCTTGAACCAATCCTTTACAAAACGGAAAGACAGATAGTTTCATTGTATGCCCGTTCAAGAACATCTTCATACAAAACGGAATGAAGAAATGCAAATCCAAACTATGGATTCGATCAGTGTAGACCGACAAGTTAGAGTCTGAGCAATCAAAGCTGCAAATCCAAACTACAGATCCGACCATAATCACCTTTGATGATCGGCAAACGTATCTATGATGACTCACGCATATGATAGTTACAGGTTCATGAAGAACTTGGGAAATCTATCCTGTCACGATTATCTTGTCAAACCCGTGAAGTACCGGGATAGAATTGGTCTTCAGCAACCCATACATGTCGTAAGAGGCGACTGACAGGATCGGGTGGACAGACTTGCTGACTTGGTTGATACATGTCATGGTATCACAGTTACGTAGAACCTTGCTCATGCTGTTGATCACTGGATTGTCTGGTCCAGACTCGATTGTATACAAGCCGCCGCCATATAGCTGGAATACTGCTGACCCAAGGAGACCCAATTCAACCACCAAATTTATCGTCATGTTTGACGTCATTTCATGTAACTGTTTAGCAACGGGTTTGCACTGTGACTGACAAGCAGACACACATCTTATGATGGCGTTATTTCGATCTGTTTGTCGTTACACAACAACACAATGTAGTATTCCCGGAAATTAGTGAGAAATTTGTTTCGGCAAACATCTAATACATTTATATAGAATATAGACGTTTTACCTCAATGAATATGTTGCGACGTGATTCTCTTACATTCTGAGTGTCTTTTCAGTACTTTATGAGACCTCCTTGCCCTGCAATACACGACTGAAGGCGCCTACCGATCAAAGTTTGTAGGGAATCGTGTGACAGCGAATCCCAATATTCGACCACTTCTTTCTGCTCAATGCTCAATATTTCTGGGTTTTTTTGTAGTTTATTCTGTCCTTATTTAGTCCCCACACATTATCAATAGGGTTAAGATATGAGCTGTGGCTGGGCCAGTCTAAAACTTGAACATTTTCGTCCGACAACCACTGTTTTGTGTAGCCCGCAGTGTGTTGTGGGTCGTTATCATGCTGGAACATCCAATTATCTTCATAATATCGTGATGATATCCCACCCCACATGTGAAATTACGGGCTATGTTTTGAGTGTTGGTAGATAGGTTTCACGGTAATACTATCTTTGTCCAAATTTTCATAGATCGGAAAAAGCCAGACAGAACTTTCATCAGAAAAGAAAACATGATCCCAATCTTGATTTTCGTGAGCCCTACACCAGTGTAAACGTCTTTCTTTTTTGTGCATCTTTCATCAATGGTGAGGGAATTCCGCGCTTTTTCACCCAGTTAAGTCTTTGTGATTCTTGTCTAAGGGTTTCATTACATACCGGAGGACTTCCTCTATTAATCATCTCATTTCGGATATTCTCAACCCTTTTCAAGACTGTATGTTCCAAGGTTGGCATACATCCTGACACCTCTCCATTTGATGATCTATTTTATTCTACGTTTTGATTGGTTTTCGTATAGCTGTGAGTGAAAACACGAAGCCACGCGTACTAAAGGAAATGTATTTCATCGTTCGAGGTATAACAATTCGTTTAAAGAAACCAAGTGACTTTCACCTTTGCTTGAGTTCGATGGAGTAACTTCTACATTATCAAAGAAGAAATGACCGACGTTTTGTACCTGTAGACCTAAGCATTTTTTTTTGAAAGCTCTAATAGCCTTGTATTGTTTATTTTGGTAAGGTAACGCTGTGTTTATGGTATTTATACTGTGTAACCATCGCGTTGTGCGTGTAGTCAGTATGTTTTATCAAAAGGGGTTGGATGCATGAATCCTCGTGGAGTGAGCGCCAAGCTAACGGCACGTCTAAAGATGTTGTTCAGTGTCGATTTCCAACTTGAAACAGATGGTAAACCCAGATATCTAGACGCAGAAGAAATCAGTGTGAAACCAACCAACAACAAACGCAGGATATGCATTCAACAACTGTATAAAAGCAACCAAGTGCTCAAATCAATATAAATGACTGCGAAGCAATGGAGTACAAAACAGAGTGGCGGTAAAAACATAACACCAGTACATTTATAATGGCAATATAAAATAAAATAACACTGATAATAACAATTAAGTCAGCGATAATGATAATAACGTTGTATCGGCAATGGTCAAACTTTCGAAATAGGCCTCACAGATGGTGTCTAGGGTTAAAAATAAGGATGTTCACACACTGATCGTGACATAATGTGAGACTTTAGAGGCTACGTATGTCCGATTATGTAGTCTTAAAACCGTCCAAAGTGTCATACAGTGTTGGATTAGTATATGGCTGTTCTGGGAGATTCCTGACCACACGTAACCACCCAAGCATCTAAACATAGCAACTTTCTCAATGCTGCTGACATCAGATAGTGATACTTTCCGGCGTTTTCCAAACCATTAATAATTGTTACAAAACTTCGGTGAATCGTTACTGACATAAGTAACAAAAGGAAGTACAATTACACATATTATTTCAGAAAAATGCTCCTCCATACAACAGTGTTACACCACATGCATGCGTCTCATGATCACTTTGAAAATTGACAATCAAATGTGCTCTGCCATATGACAGTGTAACGCCACATGCGAGTGTCTCATTATCATTTTGACAATCAAATGTGCTCAGCCATACAACAATATGTAACGCCACATGCGTGTGTCTCATGATCACTTTGACAATCAAATGTGCCCTGGCATACAACAATATGAAACACCACATGCGTGTGTCTCATTATCATTTTGACAATCAAATGTGCCGT